GTTTTGATTTGCATTTCCCGGATGCTGAGTGATATTGAGCATTTTTTCATATGTCTGTTGGCCATTTGTATATCTTCCTTAGAGAAATGCCTGCTTAGCTCTTTTGGAGTGGCATATATCTTAAGATAAAAATATTTAAAAAATCTAGGAATCCAAGTTGTTGTCAGGGTGTCTAATTCTTTCTTGGAAAAAAAAACAGTGCTACTGTTAAAAAAGTGATTAATTTCAAAACCAGATTTTTCTGGGAAGAAGGTCCCACTTTTTTTTTTTTTTTCGGTGTCTGGCTGGTGTGGGGATCCAAACTCATGACCTTGGTGTTATAAGGCTGTGCTCTAACCAGCTGAGCTAATCGGTCTTCCCCCACTATTTTTGTCACGTATAGTGGAAAGAACTGTAAACTGGGGAGTCATGAGTTTTTATTTTCCAGCTCTGCCATTATGTAACATGTATTATCTTGGGCGACTTAGTTAATTTGTAAAATGGAAGGGGTATACTAGTCCCTGATGCTTCATTTCTGGAGTTAGTTCCTGTTGCAGTACTGTTTTACTTCTGAACATACTAAATATTCACTTATTCACTTTCTGCTTGTGCCCTACACAGCATCCCTGACATCCTTTTTCTCTTCTATTTTCATTTAGTGTGTTGTTGGTGGTTGCAATGCCAGCTTTGCTTCTCAGGGAGGGCTAGCTCGCCATGTACCCACACACTTCAGTCAGCAGAACTCCTCAAAAGTTTCTAGCCAGCCAAAGGCCAAAGAAGAATCTCCTTCTAAAGCTGGAATGAACAAAAGGAGAAAATTAAAGAACAAAAGACGACGCTCATTACGTAAGTGTTTCAAAATCTTTATATATTAGATAGTTTTTGTTTATATCTTGGGCTTTCATGCAAATCCAATTTTTACTCTTCTTAATTCTGTCTGTCAGTGTGAGAATTCAGTGTCGTGTTTGTACTTCAAAGTAAAGTGGAAAGAATAGTTATAATAAACACTTGTAATGCTCTTCACTTAGAGATTCACCCGGTGTGCGACATTTGCTTTATCTCCCTTCATATATACTTTTTCTTTGTCCTGAATCTTAAATACTTAAGAATACATTCTCCTAAGAATGAAGATATTGTTTATGTAACCACACCATTATTACACCTAAAGAACAAAAATTACAAAATATGTATGGTTTTGAACCACAGGAAAATAGAGTTTCTATTTTTGTGGTTTCTTAAGATTTTTGATTATATATCTCAGCAGTTAAAAAAAAATGGTTGGGTACACAATCTTTTTTTTGTGGCTTCCTGGTGCAGGGATCAAACCCTGGACCTTGTTATCAGCACAGCACTCTAACCAACTCAACTAACCAGCCAGCCCTTGGTCACATAATCTTAACATGTAATTCATACATTGTATACTGGTAGTACTACTAATGCACCTTATAAAGCAATTGCCAACAAGGAATATTAAAAAAGGACAAGATGGAAAAATGAACAGAAGTGATATTTTTTTCTTCCTTTTCTTTAATGGATCATGATACACATCTGTTTTGGAAACTGCTGTTCTACTTTGGTGTTCTTGATATTTATTCTAACAGTGGAGATACCATGGTTAAATCCCAGGTGCATACACTCTGAAGTGAGGGCTCTGTTCATTATTGTGGATTTAATTTAAGTGATGACATCAGTGTTTAAATTTCGAATGAGAGGCGGTTGATTTGAATGATTTAGAGGGATAAGTTATTTTCTTTAGGTGCTTATCCTTAGGAAAATGCTGCTTTGCCTCACACGGATTTGTCACCTCTCTTCCCTTGGGTGACAGAGCCACAAAAGGATTACTCGAGGCCCATCTCTTCTGAGCAGTGAGAGACCCTGAAGGGGTTAATTTCCTGGAACCCTCAAGAGCGAGGCATTCCTTCCTTTGAGAAATTAACCACGAATTGGGGTTCTTGCCCTGCATTTATTCTCCAGACCAGGAAGTTACAGGAAAAGAACATAGATGGGGTTATGTGTAAGTATAGTTTAGCAGTAACATCAGTGAAACAAGCAAGTTGACATTCCATAATGCAGTTTGCAAAAGGTTAAGTCAATCCACCAACAAAAGCTTGATCTTAGCAAACGCTGTTTTTCCCTACAGAAATTTCCCAGTATCTTTACATATCAATCAGTAACTTGTCTGTCCTTGAGCCAGCAACCTTGCTGTGTCACAACCTCCATCCACATCAGAGACCCTAGTCTGAAGAAAGTTTTCTGTTTTTTGCAAGGTTAACATTTCTATATATGATTTTAAAAGGTTAGGTTAAACTTGAAGCCACAGGGCCCTGGAAAATAGGCTCTGTGAAATATATTTGCTTCATAAATGTTAGTGCTCTCTACATGAAAAAGCATATATTTGGAGAGCATAGAGAAACTACACAGTTTTTTCCAGTAGCCACAGATCTAATAGGAAGGGGATTTGTTTCTCAGCATTAGGTAAAATTTTCTCAAAAATGTCAGTTACTTTTTTCTTTCAGATTTTCTATTGTCATTGCATTCTTAGTTTTGTGGGTTCTGCTAGTCTATTACTAGGTGCTGTTTTGCTGTTTCCTCTTGGGAAAAAATTCAGTGAGAAAAGAGCTGTTTAGGTATGTTCTGTTGAATATGCCAGCTGGTGAAATTGTTCTCCCACAAAAGCTATGGTGGATTTGCGTAGACTCTCTAAGAACTCTGAATAGCTATAGTGTGGTAAACCAGCATACATGTAATTCAGAATATATGATATCAGGAAATCAAGCCATTTCTTTCATTGTTAGTAAAAATGAATTTTCAATTACAGATCTTGAAAAATTACATGTATCAGTAACCTCCACAAATGTAAAATAACTCATATTCTTTAATTTGAGCAACTTTCCCTTCAGGAATGAGAACAGCACAATTTATAATATGTGGTAGGATGAAAATTGAAATTGAAGAATGTTCTTAACAAATTAAATCTTCAGTGTATAATTTTGTTGGGTTCACACTAAAAAAATTGCTTACTTTTGGATGTGAAGCGGTTATTTAAAAAAGGTTACATAAGCTCATTAATATAAACTGCTTTGTGATTTACGAGGCATTTTTCACATGCATTTGTTTTATTTAATCACAATCTGTAGCTGTTACAATATCTCCATTTTACAAGGAAGGAAACTAATGTAGGTTGAGCAGTTTGCTCATAATTGCACAGCTGATAACTGGTGGAGTTGGAAGTTAGAATTTTGGTGGGCTGATTGGCATTCAAAAATGTATTTGTAATTTTCTTAGATCATTGTTAGAAGTTATTCATAATCAAGAAAATACTGGTCAAAAGTCTCAAAATAATGTTACTGCTTTTGTCAAATTTGGAAATTTTTTTTTTTTGGTCTTTTTCCGTGTCCGGCAACGGATCGCAACCCTCAGTGTCGCCCCCGTACCGGACCAGGACCGGCAACGGGATCGCAACCCTCGGTGTTGCCCCCGCGCCTCGCTCAGCCAGTGAGCGGGAACCGGTCTGTATGTGGGATCCGAACCCTCGGCGGGAGCGCCGCCGCACTTCCCAAGCGGCGCACTAGCGCAGTGCGCCACCGGGCCGGCCCCCTAGTTGACTTTTTAAAAAGT